TCTGCTCGCTGCTGCTGCCTCTGCCGCCGCGGTCGGTGTCTCCGGCGCGGCGGCGGCGGCGGCGGCGGGGCTTTTCCTGTCCGGTTACGTTAAGGTCACATGACCGGGAGAGCGGAGCGACTAGTGCAAAGAGGCTGCGAGCGGCTCCCGCCGGGGGGAAGAGGCGGCGAGAGAGCAGTGGCGGCAAGAGCCCCTCCGCCCCCCAGCCGCTCCCCTCCCCCTCCGCTCCCCGCCTCCGCCTCCGCCTCCTGCTGCTCCGCCGCCGCCGCCGCCGCCCGTCGCGCTCCCTGCGCCGCCGCGCCCACCGCCCGCCGCGGCTCCAGCCGAACTTCTGCGCGCCATGTGCGGCCGCGGCGAGGAAACTTCGCTGCAGCGTCCGGGCTGGAGGCTTGAGTCACAAGCCCAGTGTTTACATAGAGCTTTAGGTAGGACGGATTTTCCCCGCGCTTGGGGTGCGGATGCAGAGCGGCTCGCGTCCTTTGGCCAGTGGTTCCTTGACATCCCTCCGGTCTCCACCTTTTATCCCTTTAACTTCCCGGTGTGAGTTTTAAGTTTTGGAGCTGAGCACGGGGTATAAAGTAGCACCGGGGAACTGCTATGCTTCGCTCATGTCTTTTTGGCCCCAGTGGTAGAGAGCCCTGCTGAAGCAGGCCCTGTGTGCGCTCTGTAGAAGGTGGAGGTGTTCCTGTACAAGTTGAGTGTGATGTTTATGACGCATAGGTCTGAATAACTCAGAGCACATTGTTTGAAACAGTTTTAGTCTTTAGATGTTGGTAGAACGATTTCCAGAATTGTCATCATGTTAGATCTAAAGATCCTAAAACATAACATGGTAGGGGAGTTAGTATTCCCTGTGAACATTAACATTTTAAAGTTTACTTTTGTTGACTTTTTGGGTAGAATTTGTTTCCTTTGGAAATAGAAATTAGTGTTTGATGAGGGGGATTTCTGTTTTCCTACTTAGGGTTTTTGTTTTGTTTCTGTTGGTAGTGGGGGTTGAAACCAGGCCCTTGGGCTACATCTTCAGCCCTTTATAGAAATTTTTAAAAAATTTTTGAGGTAGGGTCTCACTTCACTGTGTACTGCAGGCTGGCCTCCCATGATCCTCCTGCTTCTGCCTCTGCCTCCCAAGTGCTGGGATTACAGGTGCGCACCACACCATGCCCGGCAAAAGTGCTTAAAATGGGGTCTCTGCTAAGTTTGCAGGCAGGGTTCCTACTTGGATTCCTGTCTTAGCCTCCTGGAGTGCTTGTGTGCCTCAGCCCAACTACATGTGTAGGATTTAAGAAAGGATGACTTAAGAAAGGATAAGGATTGATTTGTAAGGAAATGGAGGCAGCAGTTTCCAAGTTACTCTTGGTTTATAAGCACTCTATAAGTACCTTGTTGTCTAACTTACTTTGGTTTACACAGCCAGGCCCTGACAGTGGCTGATACAGTTTACAAAACATTTAAAACATGCTTAGTATCTTAGGATAGTTTTTATTAGTGTCTCCTAAGAATCTTGAGTTCCATTTAGTCATCCAACCAGTTGTAGCCACACTTACTGATGACTAATTCCTGGTTTGAAGACAAAGTAAGCAGCTATATAACTTTCATGACCCCAAACTGAATAATAGAGTCAACATATACTTGCTTTGAACGCTCTTATTCTTTGATGAGCTAGATAAATGGCTTGAGTGGTTAAATGTCTGCAAGATTCTGACCCTGATGTATATGTAAAATACTGAAGTTGGCCTTCAGGTATTAGCATGAAGGTTCGTTAGAGTGTCTTCTGTTTCCTCTGATTAGGAAAACAAATAATATTGGTTGTGCTGAAGAGAATCATGGTTAAGGTTGGGTTCTTGCTTCTTCTGGGCCATGACTCTTGAAAACTTTTCAGTTAAGGCTATTTGTGTGGAGAATGAAATGATTTTAAGAGGAACTACAAGAAATTGTGAGCAGAGCTAGTGTAGTTCTTTAAGTTTTAGAATGATGGCCTTGGGTAGAAACTTGTGTATGTATCTAGAGTATTTGACCCTGAACCCAAATAACTTCTTTTATATTAGTTTTCCAGTATGCTATTCTGTATAGGTTTATGAAAATTCAGGGATAAGCCCAGAACTAAAGTGTCATTTCTAAAGAACTTACTGTCAAGAGCATCCTGTTCAGCATAAAAGCTGCTGATTTTGGATTAATTTTTTTGAGTCAGGGTCTCATTGTGTAGTTCTGGCTGACCCTGAACTCACTGTAAACTCCAGATTGGTTTTGACCTGATGCTCCTGCTTCAGCTTTGCCAGTCTGGGTTTACAGGTGTGTCTCACTACAGTCAGCCTGCTTTTAGATTTAGAACTAGGTTGCTTTGTTGCTAATTCTCAAGGTTTAGGGAGGTGCACTTGATTTTTGCCAAGTATGCAGATTATTTTGATTTTTTGGTCACAGTCATCAAGCCATAGCATTGTGAGGAGAGCTGCATAAGCACTCTGTAAAGGTTGGGGAGAAATCAGCTGTTGAGAAAGGCTTAAGTCAGGATAGGGCCAACGGAGCTGTCACTTCTCTAATAAGTCTTGTTTATAGAGAAAGGCATAGATGCTCTGGACAGGTAATAAAAAGACAGAGTTAAGTCACTGTTAGTGTTCATGTACCAGTTTGTTTTGAAAAGTGTATATGGCAAACTAGGAGTTCAAAAATAGTTTAGCACACTTAATTCAAAGAAAATTAGTGCTTACAGGTAATCTGAGTGGATTTATCGGAGAAGTTATGCAAAAATACTTTGCAAAGTTTTGTGTTGCTGAAAGTTTTGATGTACTGCTTAGATAAAAATGTAAACATACATACTTGCTTGCCTGAGGGTATTTCCCATGGGACTTGAACAGTAGATTCAGAACAATAGTTCTATACTTAACCTTTTTCCTCCTTTGGTGAAAAGTTTTTGGGTGTGAGTTGTCAGGTTGAAGATAAAATTTCTTTTAATATTGATAAGAAAAGTAATAGGAAATAATAAATGTGGAGCTCAGTGCAGCTTTTTCACTAAATTCTATGAAGGATGTCTGTTCAGTAACTTTTTAAATTAAGAAAATGACCTGTCTTCGTATCTTAGGCTTTAAAGTGTAGGGAAGGTACTATTCTGTGTTTTATATCAAGCTTAACATAAATCAGAAAAGATGTATTTTGAGAGTGTCTTACATTTTATTGGTTTAGTAATAAATTTGATAGAAAATACTTGTTTAATAGAGCTGGCTGTTACTGAGGTCATTGTCCCTCAAGGAATTTCTATGCTGTAAGCAGCTTTTTGTTTTAAATCTGGTGTAGATCTGTAGGCATACACTTCTTTTTCTGTTCTTTTTCTTTCTTTGTCTGCCCCTCTCTTGCTTTGAGATAGAGTCTTGATTTGGTTCAGCATGGCCTTGAACTCAATACATAGCTTAGTCCAACTTGGAGAAATTCTTGCCTCAGCCTCTTTGAGTACTGGATTATAGATGAATAGGTATACATGTTTTCAATTGTGATTCTAAGAAATACCATTTATCTTTTTAGTTTAATATGTGGTGCTGGGGATCAAATCACATGCCTCATGTGTGAAACATTTATTTTGAGACAGGGTCTTCCTGTGTTGCCTAGGTTGGCTTTGAGCTTGCAATCTAGCCCCTCACATGTGAAACACTTGTTTTGAGACACACAGTCTTCCTATGTTGCCTACACTGGCTTGGAATTCACAATCCTGTTTAAATCTGAGCAGCTGGGATTACTGACATGTGCCACTATGCCTAACATGAAACACATTTTAATGTGCTGCCTACTATACATACATAAAACTGAGATGAAGTTTTCAGGAAATAGTATTTATTGAGTAATATACTCAGCTTTATTTAATTCTCTTTTTTTTTTTCCTTTTTTCTTTTTTGAGTTAAGGTTTCACTGTAGTTCAGGCTAGCCTTGCTCTCACTGTATAGCCCAGGCTTGCTTTGAACTTGCACCTATCCTTTTGCCTCCATGTGAAGTTTACAGTTGTGCACCACCATGCCTAGCTTTTTTCCTTTTTGAGATAGGATCTTGCTAGGTTGGCTGGGAATTCATGATCTTCCTGTTTCAGCCTCTTTAGTAGCTGGGATCATAGGCATATATATCACTGGACCTGGCTAATACTACAGCTTTAAAAAGTTAAGTTGGGTAGCCTTAAATTTATTTTCTCACCCCAAATGGGCTATGGTTATCATCTGAAAACACTGGTGTATTAGTTCTCTGGCTACTGTACATTAATCTGAGATTTAGTGGTTAAAACCATAAACATGTTTGTTTATCTTCTGTGGGTCAGGAGTTTGAAGCATGGTAGTTCAGTGGCTATGGGTCAGGGTCTTTTTTTAAGGTTGCTGTCAAGATGTTGACAGGTTAACATGGCTCACTGTCCCAGCAAGTCAGTATCTGTTGATGGCAGAAGGTGTTAGTGCTCCACTGGCTTGCTTGAGTGTCTTCACAAGATGGTGGTCATTGGGTTCACCTAGAGCGAGTAATCCAAGTAAGAGCAAACAGGAAGCCACACACCCTCACCACTGCCCTGTCCAAACA